CCGAGCGACGCTGAAGCTACTCAGCCAACAATGCGAACAATTACAAGATCGCAAGCGTCAAGTGAAGGGGCCAGTGCCAGTACACAGGCTGAGTCAGCCTCCCCTGCTACTGATGCTGCTCAAGATGCGGCTGGACCTGAGACCATGTCCATGCAGCAACTGCTAGTATACATAACGCAGCAGCAACAGCAGTATAAAGCTCAGAAAAGCAAACCCAAGCATAAATAAGGGTTGCTCGCACTGTTCCCAGCGATCTACGACGCACTCTATCAGTTTTTCTTGATGAGCAAGGTCCTACTGAAATCCCTTGTAGATATCGCCAAATGAGTGAACTACGTCTTCAAGTCGCTTTGAAGGCGATACGAAGCGAGAGATAGCGGTGCAATAACCGCCTATGCTTCTTCTAAGATCATCCCAGAACGCCGGATCTCCAAGAACATGAAGCTGCGACGGAAATCAGTGCTCTCTTGTACTGAAGATGAAACATCTGAAGCGCTGACTGTACACGTAGTAGCGACGCGAAACACCCTTGCATTGAATTCCATCTTGTTTCACACAATGTTCTCAACCCTAGCGGCTTTCCGTAAAATTTCTTCACTACCTTTCTCGCGCGTGGCAACCATTTTGACGAGGAGGCGTTCAAGGTATTGACAGCAGTTGTAGCTTTGGCAGCAACACCACGAAACAAAGATCAACAAACCGCTTTGACGAGATTAATCTCGTCATGTGCGAAGCAGAAGAGAAAGACAATTTGAGGCTACCGTAACGACAATATACGACGTGCACGACCGCACTTCCCCGCATTGTCGGTAATTATCGTTCCAACCTTCCACTTCTCTTGCTGCGCTTGAAGTAACACTTGCTCAAATTGCTCAGCAATAGCAATCCCGTGATGTCTATCACCAGCGGGCAAAATAGCGTAAGTAAGAAGTACCCCAAATAGCGCGAGCTGGCAGCCTAACAAATGATCCTTTGAAATATTCTGCCAGCCATCGGAGAGTAAATTAACTCAGCCTTGTGCCCTTTCCTCCATTTCCCTGAGCTCATTTGTGTCAATCGATTTGCAGCACTTAGCGAATTCTTTCAAAATGCGGTTACTTAAGGTTCGACGAGAAGGGAGATAGTCCGTTATTCCTGGACATAGTGATAGCAGTTCCAAGAATCGCAGCGTAGACGAATGTTCGATGAAACGGTCGGGGAGATGGTTATCAGCGTGTAGCTCAATGAGTGAGCATTGAAGCTTCTTGACCTCTCCCTCGGTGAACTTCCGCCGCTGCTTCTTCAACGTCTTGGTCGGTGTTGGCTTGCGTCGCTTGTGGCTTGAATGTGGTCGGTTTGGGCTCAGCCGCAGGCGCTTTTCAAAAGCCAGAATGCGGCGCGCACGTGATTGGTCTGCGATCATTGAACGGCTTCGTACAGGCGTTCGCAGCGTACCTGTTCCTGAACACAAGGGTTGTCTAAAGGCGTAGGTGTTGCTTCTAATGATGACTTAGGACTCGAGTTTTGTGCTCTCGGCAGCGTTTTCGGTGCTGGTGATGAGCTTGTAGATGCTGGTCCCAGCTGAGCGGTCTGGCAATACTTACATTTGGCTAGGTGATTGATACAGTTGCGCGCTCTGCCAATGATCACCTTCGGCGAGGTGGTGGTTTACGCTTTTGTTGAACGCAGCTCTGCAGAAGCTGCCCTCCCGAAACGAGTAGCCCCCTGCTGCCTCACCGAGCTCTTTGAGGTGTGTGAATCGTCCCGACACGCTGGACGGCCACCACTAACCATTCTAACGACGCACGTATCGCTCTCTCTCTCTCTCTCTCTCTCTCTCTCTCTCTCTCTCGCTC